CTGGCGACGTCTCCTGGACCTCAGTCCGTCACCCAGAGCTGCTGTTGGCAATGCTGGCAAAGCCCGTCCGTCTCCCCAGCTCCGTTCTCGGCAAATGTCCTACGTCCTCTGCTGCCTTTGACAGCTCCTCTGTTGGGGTCACACCTCTGTGCTCACTCTCTCCTTCAGCTCTGCCTGTCTGGCCAGATGTGGGAGCAGCGAGTCCTGTTTTCACCTCCGATGCTCCTGTTGGGACGCGTCCTCTCCTGTGCCTCCCACTCGTCCCTCTCTGTCACTCTGGACCCTCCCTTGGTTTCCAGTGATCCAGAGTTTTGAGGATTCGAAGTCCCGAAGCCGAGTCCGCAGTCTTAGCCTGCTCTTTGCCCTAGGAGGTGACTCTGGGTGTCGTGTGACTGGGAGCCTTGGCTGCGGAGGCTGGTGGCCACAGGGAAAGGGGGCTCCTGGGGGGTGTTCCTCTCCATTCTCCATTCTGTGGTGTGGCTAGGAAAGAGTGGCCAGCACTTTTGCTGCTCGAGGGCCATTAGCCCCTCATATGAGGTCCACTTGAGCGATGGGAGCCACTTGGAATTCCCAGGAGAGAAGGTCCCACTGCGCCCAGGCCAGGGGCAGGACTGTGCCCTGGACTCCTTTCACTGACAGCCTGAGGACTCTGGCATTGAGCAGGGTCTCTCTCCATCTCTCCTCCTGCAGCCTCAGAGCTGCCCCTGAAAGGTGCCTTCTACCCTCCACCCAAAGAGGGGGAGGGAGGGGGAGGGAGGGGGAAGGAAGAGAGAGGGAAGGGGAGGGGGGAGGGGGGGGGGAGGGAAGGGGGGGAGGAAGGGCTCATCATGACAGTGTGTGTTTTCCATTCTGGGTTTTCACCCTATTGTTTATTCTGACCCCATTTTATTGTGAATTCTGCTAAGAACTTGCAGGATAATATTTGTGTTTTTCCAGTTTCCGTGGATGTTTTAATAGGTGGGATTCCAGTGTCTAGTCTGGAATGTTTCTGGAATCCGAAGTCAGCCCCTGTGTGTGCGGCTCTGCCACAGGACTCTGATCTTTGCAGTTCAGATTTTCCTGGAACAGAGTGAGGGGATCACCAATCCAAAAGGTTGTTTAATTTCTAATTTTCTTGGAAATCTTCTGCTTTCCCTTTGACCTCAAGATTGCCCTCTGTCTCCCATTTGTTTATTAGTGGCTTGCCAGGCACGGGAGCAGAGACGGGCACGGGCTGCCGCATGGTCCTGGGCACCAGGTCACTGCAGGCCGAGCACCCTCCTGCGGTCCCCATTGTCTCCACCCCCCATCCCCTCTCCCTTCCCTGAAGTGCTCACTTGCTGCTTTACACACACCCTGGAAGCCTGTGTTCCTCATAAAATACACGCCAGTGCTTTTAGTTTGCGTAACTGGTGCCATGCCATCGAGTCCTGCTGCTTTTAACTGAAAACCCCAACACAGACTTTGGGTGTCGGCTTATCTGTGTGCGCACACTTCACGGGGAGGGCTGGTCTCTGCCAAGCTGTGCTCACCAACCCCGCCCCCCCACCCCGCCCCACCAAGGATGCTCAAGAGCTCCATCCCCAGGTGAAAGACTGCAGGGCGGATGGCTGGAGTGGCCTCTGGGGACGGGTAAGGATGGCCCTGGGGCTGAGACCAGGACTGCCCCTGAGCTCTCTAGAGCTTTCCAGCCAGCCCTGCCAAAGTGGGTCCTGCCTCCTACAGCTTCTCTGCAAGTCCGGGCCTGCACGCTCCGTCTGCCTGCCTAACACGTGTCAAACACCAGCCCACTGCCGTCTTGTCAGCATCTCACCTTGTGGAACCCACCGTTCTGCCACATCTGAAGAAACCCACAGGAGGTCTGAGCCTCGATTCACGCCCCATTGCCTCCAGGGATCGTCTCCTGTGGGTCGCGATTGGTGCTGTCCGCCCGGTGTCCAGAGGCTGTCCAAGCTGCCTGGCCAATTTCTTCCCTTCATTCACCCAGCCATTTGCTCAACTTGCTAAGCCTCCCGGTGACACAAAGTCCCTGCCCTCGGGACCTGCCAGTCCAGCAGGGGACAGACAATTCCCAGAGGCAAATGTGTATTATGTTGAGGTGAAAAGCTATGAAGGCCAAGCAGAGCAGGTCACAAATAGGGGGCCACGCGGGACAGGCTCAGAGCCAGGGACGACACCTCCAAGAAAGAGACTTTCCCGAGGACCGCAGGGAGTGAGTGGCAGAGGAGCTGGGCCCCGTGTGCAGGAGGCCCAGCATGGGCAAGGCTGGAGGCTGAGGGAGGCTACATGCTCCTGGAGCAGCACAAAGAACAGTGGCCAGAAAGGGTGACGGGGAGGTGGGGTGACATCCATGTCTGACCACCTCCCATGTCTGACCACCTCCCCTGCTCTTCCTGGGTGAGAGGCTGCTGCGGGGCTCTTTGGTAAAATGCACACGAACCTCAGCATCTTGACTGTTGGGGTGCACAGTGACATTGAATATGGGTGTGCAGTCGTCACCATGGTCCACCTACGAAACTTCCTCACCTCCCCCCTGAACTGAGGTCCTGTCCCATTAAACACGACCCCACCCTCCTGCTCTCTGTGTCGATGGGACGGAAGCCTCCGGGGCCTCCGAGTGGAATCCTGGGTCCCTGTCTTGTGTGTGGCTATGTCCTCGAGGTCCTTCCAGGTTGTGCGGGTGCCAGGCTTCCTTCCCCCTCTTCCTTATGACGACGATTATTACTTCAGTGCTGGGGATGGAACCCAGGGCTGCCCTCCTGAGCTGCACCTCCCACTCTTTTTATTTTTTCTTTTGAGACAGGGTCTCTAAGTTGCTGAGACTGGCCTTGAACTGGCATCCCCTGCCTCAGCCTCCCAAGTAGCTGGGATCACAGGCGTGCGCCACCCCACCCGCCTACTTTCTTCTAAAGGCTGAATAACACTCCGCTGTCTGGATGGACGGCCCCTGATTCATTCAGCTCGTCAGCAGACACGTGGCCTCCGCCATTGCAAACAGCTGCTGTGAGGGTAACATGCAGATGTCCTTCCGTGCCCCGATTTCTCTTGTTCCAGGTACACACCTCCACATGGACCTGCTAGGTCACACAGTATTCTGACTCTGTAAGGAGCCATGGTACTGTCCCCCAGCCTCCACACAGCCCCAGGGTGATGTCCCTTATCTCCGTGGGGCAGAGGCTGCCCTGGGTGAGACGGGCCTGCTGGGGTCCTCGGGGCCTTCAGCCCAGGAGATATGCCATCCCACTTGTGCCTTTGAGACCACTCCTGCTACGTGGTGAAAGCCGGGACCTGTTCCCAGGCTGCTGTGAGACCAGGCAGAGGCCAGGGTGCCGCTGTGGGGACAGCAGTGCTGGGTGATGGGCGCCGGGTCCTGGGGAAAGTCTGAGATCCCCCTGAGCAGGCTGTGCCCCCAGCACTCAGTTGCCGTTACAAGGAAGAACAGAAGGTTGTTCCCGGGAGCCGAGTGTGGAGCCAGAGAGCCATGTGTGACTACCTCCCCAAGGTCAGGCGTCCCCGGGGAAGCGACAGGTGAATAGGAGTGGGCAGTGACTGGAGTCAGTCAGCGTTCTGCACAGGAGTAATCCATCTTCCTGTGTTCAGACAGCGGTGGAGGCCGTGTGACCAGAGGGGGAGTTCTAGTCCCCCAAGGCCAGGTCCCCGTGGGACACCTGTGCAGGCCTTAGTGAAGAGTCAGTGGGTGCAACAGAAACGACCTTTAGGTCCCTGGAAAGTAACCTCCACACAGTTACCATGGTCACGGGGTCAGAGGTCGTCTGCAGCAAAAGGCCCTCGAACCAGTGGCTTGTGCAGCCGACCAGAAGCTCACGGCCAAAGCAGGCGGATCTAGAGGTCTGAGCAGGTTTCCCTGGGCTCCCGGTGGACGCAGTCAGGTGGGCCATTCTGTCATTGGGCCAGGCAGCGGGACTCCAGGTCACCGAGCATCCCAGCTGAGCAGCAGCCTGTGTGGACGCAGCTTTGGGCCTTGGCGGCTCCTCCTCCGAGGTGCGTGGTTCCTTTCTCTCCGTGTCCCTCTGCTCCTGCCCGGCTTTCTTACCAGATTTACTTACAGATTCAAGCTCCCCGTTCCACCTAAATGACCTTGATCCAAGCCAGGAGAGCTGGTGCACACCTGTGATCCCAGCAGCTCGGGAGGCTGGGGCAGGAGGATCGCGAGTTCAAAGCCAGCCTCAGCAACTTAGTGAGGCACTAAGCAACTCAGTGAGACCCTGTCTCTAAATAAAATACAAAATAGGGCTGGGGGTGTGACTCAGTGGTCGGATGCCCCTGAGTTCAATCCCTGCACCCAGTAAATAAATAAATACCCTGGACCCAGCAGCTACCTGCTCAGCCCCAGTCCACTTACCCTGAAATCAGCTCCGAGACACTGCTCACCGCAATACCGCAGGACCCGATTCCTCCAGGACCGACGCCCCTCCCGCTGCGCCCTGGGCACCATCGTGACTGCGCTTTCACGCCACCAGAGCTCCTGTGCTGTCCCTGTGTGGGCCGGGCCTGGCAGGGGCACCTCTTGTGCTGGTGGGGGCCCCGGGAGCTGAGCTGGGTATCCTTCTGTCTGGAGTGCCCCACTGGGAGTGTAGGCGTGGCCAGTGGCTGAGTGCCCCTAAGTCCCCTGTTGGAAATGCAGCCCCGCATGGCATGTGGAGAGGGGCCCTTGGAGGGGGACAGGGTCGAGTGAGGTCCTGGGGTGGGACCTCGTGACGGCATTAATGACTCTACAAGAGGACGGGGCCCTGTCTCTCCCTGTGATCCCTCTGCCGTGTGGTGATGCAGCTCGAGCCCTCGCCAGACCCCAGTACCACACTCCAGGACGCCCGGCCTCCAGAACGGAGCCAGATAAACCTCCATTATTTCTAAATGGACCAAGACACCCGCGGAGGGCCTGGATACGCTGCAGAGGCCCTGCTCTGCCCGTACACCCCTGGGGTGGGCAGTGCCGGAGGAGCCCTGGCCACCCCAAGGCACAGCCACAGGCTTGAGGGCCACCTGTTTATGGTGCTGAGGTCGGGGGCATGTGCTGCTGTCCCGGCTGGGAGGCAGGGAGGGGGTCAGGAAGAGACACGCTGTCCCTTGGTGACCTGTTTACTGGCAGCCAGGGGAGGAAGGACCCTGTGTGTGAGCAGGCTCTGCACTCTGGCCCACTTTGGCCTGGACTTGGGTGACGACACAGGTGAGGGGCCCCTTATAGTTACGTATCAGATGCTTCTTCTGCGGACGACAGAGGATCCCATGTCTTCGTACTCTTTGTTGGTCACCCACATGTCCTCGAACGTGGACAGCGAGCACAGGATGGAGCCACCTACCCAGGCCCCGTACTTGGCATATGGAGAGGTGTACACCTGGAAGGTAGGGCAGCAGGGGGGGAGGGGAGGAGAACAAGCCTAGTCAGCTACAGCTCTACAGGGACAGCGACGTCCACAGGTCAGGCTCCAGGGTCGAGCCCCCTGGAAGGTAAGCTTTTCTGTGGGCTGGTGCCCTTGAGTGGCCGGAACCTCCCTCCAGCACCGCAGCCCTCAGGCCACGGGGGGACACAGGGCACCCTAGGGAGAAACAAGCAGGCGCTGGCAGGCAGACCCAGCCGACCCTCACCAGCAGCCGAGAGGTCCCTCCCGTGGTGGGCAGACCTTCCCCAGCGGCTCTGGCCTCTTCTCCTGCTTCCCCTGAACTGCACAAAGTGCTCCTCCTTGGCGCCTGCTCTAGGAGAGCACAGGTTCCTCACACTGGGGACCCTCCTCACCCACTTGTCAGGTGGGGCCACTGCAGCTCAGGAAGGTCAGAGTCACTGTCGAGGTCAGGCTTCTCATCCTCCGGTCTCAGACTTTCAGTAAGGTGCACAGGCATAGCGTGCCACATGACGGTCATTCCGAGATATCGGAGGGCCGAGTCCCAGCCTCGGGGCTGTGCACGGGGAAGCTGGGGGGGGATTCAGGTGTGGTGGGGGGAGACAAGTTGTGCTCTCGGCCCCATCCTGACACCTGCTGGCTCTGTCACCCACAGAACTGTGCTCGGCTCGGACCCCGTGGCTGGTTTCAGTTAAGAGATGTATCACTGTGGTTTTAAGAGGGAGGGAGAGGGAGGGTCAGGGGAGAAGGGGCTGTGGGTTCCAGGTCAGCCCTTCAGGTGGGGAGCACGGCCCATGCCAGGCGCCCGGAGCCTCTGCTGAGTCACCTACTCCATCCGACCTTATCCAAACACACTCAGGAGCAGACACACCTGGGTGCTGGGTGCACTAAGAAGAAAGCAAATACCCATAGAAAACGTGGCCACGGGTTGGAACAGGCAATTGTGGGAAGATGTTTTAAAAGAGAAGGACAGGACTTTCCCCATCTCTCAGGCTGGCAAAGGGGTGTGAAACCAAGCCGCTGGGTGTGACACGGGCAGCCTGTCAACACGTCCACGAGGCCTTAGAGTTTGCCCATATTTCTGGCCCCCAAACCCCCATTTAGAAATGATTCTAAGAGAAAGAAAGAGTATCCCCAAATAATAATCATGGCAAAAAAGTTCAGCTAAGAACATTCAGGAGAGCTGGGAGAGGGACTCAGCCGCTCCTGGACGTGGGTGGGGCCCCCATCTCAGCAGGAAGGCCTTGGAGAGGGAGCCGCATGGAGCCCTGCCTGCAGAACATCCCAGCTCCACCTCCAGAGCCGGCCAGGGTGCGAGCCTTGCTGCCGCCATGGCGGGGCTGAGCAGGAGTGAGGGCCCAGCCACCCACTGCTGCCTGGGAAAAGGTCAAAGTTCCTAATTCCAGTCGACCCACACGGATGGCTTTCACACCACCACAGAGTGGACACTCCCCGTGTGACCACGTCACGTCAGGGCTCGCCGGCTGTCGAGAAGCTGGCCCCACTGGAGCCGGCTCTTCTCCCAGGCTGGTGAGCGGGCGTGGGACGGGGGCTCGCTCTTCTTCAGGTGAGCACCTTCCTGTGGCTCCAGGCCATCTGCCTCCTACCCGTCCAGGCACGGGTCAAAGGAGAGAGACCAGGCAGACGAGAGACACGCCTCCCAGCTCCGTGGAGAGGGTTTGGGGTGGGCGATGGGGAGCACATGAGGATCTTCTGGGGAGGACGGAAGGGCTGGTGCAGGGCAGCCCAGCCACACTGTGCTGCACAGAGATGGCCCCACAGATCCCCTTTGCAATTGTGGCCAAGACACTGATGGCGCTCAGCCGACTGGTGTGCCCTCCGGGCTTTGGTAGCCTTCCTCTTTGATTTTGTGAAAGTTCATCTTGGGCAAGGCTCTGGAGGGCAGGAAGGAGGGGTGTCAGGAACACGATTCTTGACAGAGTTGGGGACATGGAGTCGGGGGAGGGCATCGTCCACTAGGACGAAAAAGTCTGCAACTTCATGTCAGAGGGCCCGAGGGCTGCAGGCTCAGGAAGTTAGGTGGCAGGGACCAGCTTCCTCTGCCACACGCAGCCTTCCACGTCGCGGGGTGACGCAGGGAAGACTGCAGGGGCAGCAGGCTCTGCCGGGCTCCCTGAAGAGCATTGTGGCGCCCCTTGTGGTGCTTCATAGGGCGCCTGGGTCTTAGGAAGAAGGCGAGGGACAAGCACCTCAGTGTTCTGTGAATTTGGTGGCCTGTGACACGCAGGCAGTGAGAGGCTGAGGGTGACAGGTGGGAAGCAGGGCTCATGTTTGTCACTCCTGGCTGGGGAACAAGGGCCACTGCCTCGTTGACTTTCCCACGGCAACCTGGCCCATGACTGGGTGACACACTAAAGAGGGACGGAGGGCAGGGGCAGGTGACCTCTGCGGGCAGTGCAAGGTGCACCGAGGACACGGGCCACAAGGTTCTCTCTGGAGGGTCCTGCCTGCAGCCCAATCCAAGAGCCCAGGAGCGGAGAGGCCTCCAGAGAAGACTGGGGAGCTGAGGGCACAGGGCGAGTCCACACCGCCTGCCCGTGGGCCCTGCGAGGAGGTGGCCTCAGTGTCTTCTGGTGGCCGAGGGATAGAGAGGGAGGGAGATTCTGAGCTCACTGCTCACTCTCCTGCCCAGTTAGCATGCAGAGGTCCCCACCCCAGGGAGGACACAGGGCAGTCTTGAAGGGTGGCAGACGGGCAGAGAGGTGTCACTGAGAGCTGACCGCGCAAGGCCACGCCTGAGCCACGACGACCTGGCCCACGGAGCTTGTAGCCAGCTCCAGACAGCAGGGAAGACGGAAGGACCCAGAGCCAGGTGAGGAGGGCATCACGCGGCTGGCCCCGGAGCCAAGCAAGAGCCACCAGAGAGGGCAGCTCACCACGAGGGTCCCCAGGGGCGAGAAAGGACTGCATTTCAACCAAAGGGACTGGCTGCGGTGGGCCGGAGGCTGCGCACTGCAGAGCGATGGCCCCAAGCAGGCAGGGCCTGTTCCAGACCCCGCAGTCCTACTTCCTGGCAGTACACGCCCCACGCCTGAGGACAGTCCACCCCTGAGGAGAGTCCACCCTCCCCTGAGGACAGTCCACCCCTCACCTGAGGAGAGTCCACACCTAAGGA